TTTGAGTATTCCGATATAAAAGATGCTTAATACAAATATTTCACAGCAAATGATTCATATCACTTCACTGATCCGGATACTGGGCCATATTTACTTTGTTCAGAGCTTTCGATGTAATATAAAATGGCGTAATAAACGCCAAAAGCCAGAGACCAAGATTCCTCAAGCAGAGGGAATTCCCCGCTGGGCGGGGGGAAATTTATGGTTTCGAGAAACAATGCGGTCATCCGTTTTTTACCAGTTAAATAATTAGTTTTAATTTATAAATAAAAAATGCATTCATTCAAGGTTTGATATTCCTCAATATTCTTCTACATTTTTTCTTGTGTAACTTATGAAACACAATAGAAAATAATCTAAATTTAAATATATATGTAGTTTTCGAGTTTTTTAAAGAAAATGAGGAAGAATAATTACCTACCAATGGTGAAAGGGCTGCATGGGGCACGAAAGATTGAGAACCACTGATTTAGACAATTAGTTAATTGAATACACGGGAACTGCATGCATTAAAAAGTTCTCTGCTATTCTCTGCCATTTTTAATTTTATAAGCCCTGTTTAATCCTATATGATACTTTTAAAGCAGTGTTATTAATTGCTGTTATTTTTTATTTTAGTTTTGCGTCATTAGGTCATTTAGGTTACAATACATTATAACTACCATTTTCCTGTATTTGCTTTTATTTCAGATTTCTCCCTTTTTCTTTCCTTTTTTAAACGTAATTTCAGGAATGAAACCATCATAAAACAAGAAGGAAAATTTACAAACAGAATTTTAATAGAAAGGAAGAAAACTTCCGAAACGTAAAACCAAACTGTTTATGGAGACGTCCAGTGTCGTCTTAACAGTATTACGGGCCCTTGGGCAAACCAATTTCAAGTCAATTAACATACCCAGGTTAGCATGGGCTTCTATGCTCGTGGAGGTCCCCGGCAAGTGCCAAGAGGGCGCATGCGTTAACATGTCCTGGGAAAGTCTGAAATCAAATCGAAAGGCTTGAACGAAATAAGCCAAAATGCGCCAATATGGTGTAGAGTCTTTTAGAATTTTTCGAAATCATGAAACTGAAGAAATCTGCAATGAGATCACCAGGATTCGAATTCAGGACCTCTCAAAAACACGTCGAACATGCTTCTTCGAACACCACAAATGCATATGGAAATGAGATGGAAAATACCAATAATGGCATACAAAACGCTTCTTGTGCTTTTAACAGAAAAGTACCTTATAATCGTAATGGATTATAGAAACTAAATTAAGGTGAACAGAAACTCCTTATTCATTTCCAGCGATGTTAAAATTAGCTGTTGACAATTTCCTGTTGGATACTATCCATCACAACTGCTTTCCATTTTTGTGTTTAGGAATGAAATCAGTGGTTTATTGTAGGGGAGGCTTTGGCGAGAATTTTTTTGTCTTTTTCAGTTCCTCATACTTTCTGTTTGCTCATTTATTTATTCAAAGAAAAAATTGTGCCACAAGGCATAATCATATTTACTTTCTTTTACTAAAAGTTTTTTTTCTTGAACCTCTTGATTCTTCCTCTTCTTGAAAATTAGCGTCTCTTCGAGTTTCATTTAAGCTCGACCAAAGGCATTTAGGCCTAAATGTTGGAAAATGTCTCATGTTTTCAACATATTTATTACTGGGTATCAAATTTTTAACATCAGAACTATCGGCTGAAGTTCTAGTCTTTAATTTTCATTACCTTCTTTTATTGTACAACACATTTTAGATTTAATAACAGTCTTATCTTTCTTAAATAGGAACTCTTTAAGAGAATCTAATTCTAAACCTTACGAAGAAACTACTTTGAAAAATAATGTGTTGGCTTAGAACCTGACAGAAGTTCCCAGAAAGTGACGTGAATAAAGAAAACAATTTGTGCTAGTTTCTGTTATAATTAAATTTGGTCGTGTTTTGTATAATTTCTGTTCCCTTTTTTTTTTTTTTTTTTTAAATTTCAAAATATTTTTTCATGGACAATTAATTGTATTTTTTGTTTTGTAAAAAGTACAATATTTAATTATGATTTAAATAATTTGATTTTTGGTTAAGATAACAGGCCAACCCTTTGTTAAAATTTTCATAACTGACCGCTGGGGATATTTGGGTATATTATTACATTTCTCAGAGAAAGAAGGAATAAAGTTGAACTTATTGGAATTTGCAGTTTCGCCAAATATGCCGAACAGAATCTGTTCCTATCAAATGACTGACACGTATGCTGTCACTTTTTCAATAAAAATTTAAGGGGGGGGGCATTCGTTTCATAAGCTCCTTTTCCTGTTTAGTTTTCGCATTTAAGCATATTTGTATTTCATTGCTGAGTTTTTAACATACAATTGCTACAAATGATACAAGACCTATGCATACGCATTCTACCATATTCTCTGTTCTCAAGTTAGATTAACACCTAGCCCAGAAATTTCAAATAATCATCTTAGATTTTTGAAACAAGAATAGTGGGAAAAGACAGATGAAATAGAAAAAGATCTTCAAACGAAACCAAGTGATAATTTTCTTAGGCCCATTATAAAGCATTAAAATTTCTTTAGAAAAGGAACATATATTTTTCGGCTAAATTAAAGACATTTCACAATCATTTCCACTTTGGAATAGCTTTGTAGTATGGATGATCATAGAATCCATACTACAAAGCTATTCCAAAGTGGAAATAGAATCATAGCTTGCTAGCTAAACTTCATAGAATCATAGCCTGGATTGCTGTAGCGGAAGATGGATTCAGATTAGGGATATTGTCAGGGCTTAATTTGTAAGATTAGAGGTGCCGGAGCCCTATGGAAGCCCGTCAGCAAAGAGGAACAAGAGTAAATAAATAAATAAAATGACTATTAAACTCATTAATAATTTTTATATTAAATAGTTAATTATTATCAAATTAATTAAAACTTATTCAATTAATGTTATAAATTGTTATTTAATCGATAATTATTATATAATTAATTAATTATAATTTAATTGCTAATTATTAGATAATTAGTTATTTATTGAAATAATTAAAGAATTAAAATTAAATAAAATGTAAAGAGATAAATTGAAGTTTATTAAGCGATTTTTAATATAATTTTATTGTTAAAATAAAATTTTCGAGATAAAATTTCTTCTGAAATTGTTATTCAGTTACATAAAAGATGTGCCGCAAGCCTTCTTATTCAGGGCTCCGGTGCGTTCCGGCTAGAATTATGATTTATTACAAAAACTAAGAAGCACCGGAGCCGAGATCCGGTGGGCTCCGGCCCAATTTAGGCTCTGATTGTAGGGGGGGAGTTCTTTTATCATCACAAAAATTAAATATACTTAAAGTATAGCTGATGAAAATTCTAGGGCGAAACAGAATGAGGGTATGAATGGGTAGGAACAAAAAAATGAGGGGAATCTTGGTGAGAAAGAACGTTCTCTTTGACCGCGGCTCTCTGCTTATATAATTATAGCCATCAAGCGGATGTGTGTCAGGGGTAAAATGAGTCCTGAATCTGACTCCTAAGGAAGAATGTAAAGGATGACTGTAAAATTGCTGGTTACGCTTCCCCCCATTAGTGAATACTATCCGAAGACGATGTATAGGACGTGCTTGAGCAGTTTATCTGAGTAAACACTGTTATTGTACTCGCTGTCACTTAACGGACATTTAAGAACACAAATTTTCCTTCCTGTGAGGGTAACTAACTGCAAGCATCGATAACAATATACTCGATACAATGGCACTGGCGAGAAATTTACGCGTTCCTAAACAAACTCCCCCAAATTTATTGCCACAAACTCCTCCAAATTTATTGCCCTTCTTAAAGGGAAAGGTTTCCGCATGTGAGTGAGGGGACTTTTATTTGAACGTCTCATGTTCTCATGAGTTCGTATTTCTAGGGAAATAGAGTATTGCAAGGTCTGCTTATTGTTAAACTAAAACGATAGGAATTCTAAATTTTTTTCCCTTTAAATTGTGGTCCAGTTTTATAAAAAGAAGTACCGGAGCTCCTCTTATATAGGGCTCCGGCTAGAATTGTAATTTATCTTAAAAATTGAGAAGTACCGGAGCCGGGCTCCGGTGCAATTTAAGCACTGGATATTGTGAATATTGGAACTAGATTTTCGCCACATGCATATTATATTTGCAGAATGACTCATACACTAGCGATTTCTTTTCAGAGTATTATGTCTATAAATTCAAATTAGACACATAAATAAATTATCATTATTTTTCTCCTGCCTTCGGAATGGGGGGAACTGCTAAAGCGGATGTATTTTGCCGAGACAGGATAAAAGCTAAAGAAATATATTCCATTTTTTCCTGAAGCTTAACTGATACCGAATAAAACAGTTAGTTTACTCACTATTTAAGGCAGAAACTAATTGAATAATAAACATAGTTTGGCTGATATAAATATCTTGTTCATTTCTGACACTTATAGCTTCTTCATAAAAATATGTGTTCCAGACCTTCAATTGAGGGTAAAAGTTACCAGATACTCGGAGCAATAGCTAAAGAAAGATAGGAAATGATTCCGTTATTTATTGTTCTATTCCCAGATGTACAAGATTAAAATAAAAAATATTATTCTTTAGGACGAGCATTCAATGCAACTGAAACCCAGTTTACAATTTCTTGTGTTATCCTTTAATCTTAATCTAATCGCTATTATAAATTTTAGGAAAATCATTTAAAAATATTCTTAAAAGCACGATACAACAGTTGTTTTGGAGAAAGAAAAGTAATGCCAAAAATTTTTGCAACAAACTATATTTGCATTTAAGATAAATAATTTGTTTGGATGAAATTCCATAAGCCTTTTGTTCTGCAGACGAATAATGTTATAGAATCATAAATATTCTTTTATGATATCACCTTGAGACCGTCGAGTGTCTTCTAAACGAAACTGCTACTTGACAGTTGCATTTTTTCTCCGTTTTGTTGTTTTTGTTCTCTGTGACGTAATCATGACAACCGCGCGATAGACGCACGTGATGGTGATTCTTGAAACGTAAACGCAATATTGTAACTCGAATGAGTAATGTTCTCATTATATGTGCCTTCAAATGTTTCGTTCTGTAGAGTGATAACTCTGTAAAGTAATCTAGTTTTAAAGTTAACAGTATTATTAATTCGTATATTCATATAATATGTCTTTCAGTCCGAACTTTTTTATTGTGATATTAACACTTTGTCTCATTCATGATGTGTGGCCTAGTTGTGTTTTCCAGGATGGTAAATACGATCTGTCGGCTTTAGATTGGTAAGTGTAATCAGTGTGATTTAAAGTATTGAATAGAATTGAAGTATTGTTATCTACTTTTATGTTTCACAAAGTTTAGCACAGATAAATAAAAGCATTTGTTGTTCATAAGATGTTAAATATAATAACGAATTCAACCGGCGTACGAGATTTCGTTTCTTGTTTTCAATATAATAAAAATTCATTATTCATAATAAAAATGTACAAATTTTATATTTGATGTTAATTAGCAGTTATAACATTTGATATTCACGGACTGGCTAAAATACGAGATCAAATATCTGACCTTTCTCGAACGTAAGAAATTCGAAGTAATTTAACATACAGTTCGAATGTGCGTAAAGTATTTTTAGAAGCTGTTTGTGGACGTCTTAAGCGCCAAAATTTAGTCGAGAAATACTTTTTTTGTAACTATATCAGACTGATATTAGCAGTGATTGAAGCTAAATTTTATTTTTAGCTGACACTTATTTCAGCATTCTATAGAAATTCTGCGCATTAGCTGATAACACGATCCCTGTGTTTTTGAGGGATCCATAAAATTCTGCTTGCAAAATACGTACTTCTAAAAATCATTTTTTAAGAGCTGTTTATTGTTTTTTCGCTATGCAGTTCCAAAACAAATTTAAACTGTATATATATGTCTTTTAAGCCATTTATTTATATGACTGACAGAACAAAGTTATTTAAAAAAAACTAAACAACAAGAGATTGTATTGTCTGATTACTAATAGTTGTCAGGTTCTGTAGTTACTTTGTTGCATATTTATTATGGCAAAATAAATCGGCAGTCGATTTAAGGGGAAGCTAGCTTTCATGAAGGATTTCTTTAAGGAAACTGTGCTGCGTATGTGGAAAGCTATAAGCATACTACTATGAATCAGATAATGCAAGCAGAATTCAAAATGAATTGATATTTCACAGCTTTACCACTCAACTTCTGATAAGGACTATCATTAGAAGGCAGTTATGGAGATTTCTGTGGTAGTAATCTCATTATATGGTATAATTTCGGTTCTGTAAACTATGTGCGAATTTTCGTTTGTAATTATAGTTACTTTATTCGTGATCCGTAAAATATAGAGCTGCATATTTTTGAAGTGTGAGAAATTTTTATGTAAGCATGTACAATTTTTAAATGACTGATTTTTTTTTTTGTGTGTGTTCTGCATCTGAATACAGTTTACGTAAACAACCTTTTCGGTTGTAGAAATAATGAATTAGCTAATAAGCCACACCACTAAGTAATACATTATACATTAAGTAAGCAATTATATTTACTAAAAATTATCCACCCAGTTTTCATCATATAATGCAGTTTTATCCATTTTCCAGTTGTATAAAGATATTTTTAAAAGATTCTGGAGAGTTTTTTTTTATTTTTTTTTTTTATTTATATTCTTGCAAGATCATTTATTAAAATTCATAAATATGGACTTTCAAGAGCAGTGCAAAAGCTTGGGGGCCCTATGATTCTCTTCATACAATCCTGTATCTCCAAAGAGATACAAATTCTAGTGTTCTTTTTCCATCTCTATCATTGTTTGAATTGAATGGCAAAATAGTACCTAATCAGTCAGTGTGCATCCATCCATTCAGCACAGTAACATTGGATACATATTATTAGTCAGTATATTACTAGCAGCATTTCTTTAACGTCTGATAGCTGACTTAATTGAATTAAAATATCACACTATTTATTGATAAGTTATGCAACATGTAGAGTAAAATTACTTTAGAAATTAAACACTATGAAATGACTGCAAATATTCATTTTGGAGAAGAAATGTGTTATACATTTTTTTTCAGTTATGGTTAAAAATAATCTTTATTTTTTCTTAGAAATTTCTCATGTAATGCTGCTGTTTTGTAATTGTTCATATTTTGCTGGCAAATTTAAAAAGTGGATGATTTTAGTATATATTCAGTAATGAGTTATTTTTCAGTTTTACTGAGATTTTTAGTGAACTGTAATTGTTCTCATATGTTCCATTTATTTTAATGAATTGAATTTTTTTCACTAAATAGCTAATGCAGATGACACTGCATTGAACATGAAAAAAATGTTTCTTTCTTGTTTTTTTTCTCACAGCCTGTCTTTGTATGCTCATTTTCAAACTTAAAATAAACTTTCATTTATTTATAATTTTGTTTTCAGTCTTTAACTTTGCTATTAATCTCAGAACATGATTTTGCATTTCTATAATCTACTAGTGTCGAAACACAGTTTAGCATTGTTTCTCTTTCTGTTTGAATCTTTTGTCATTTGGAGATACATAAGATATTATTCTTTCATATGTAATCTGTATGTTATTAATTAATAAACTAAATTATTTTAAGGTAATAGATGCAGTTCTTAATATTATTTTTTTTTTACTTTTTAATATGATTGATTCAAATAAAAATGCATTTAATTCATGATAAAAGTAATAAATAATTTTGGTTGATCTTTACAATACGGTAACTGGTAGTTTGGCGACATTTTGGAAGCGATAAAGGTTACTACCTGGGACTTTGGTAATAATGTGAGCAGTACTCAGTTCCGATTACGCATTTTTTTGTGTGAGGGAAATGAGAGATCATGGGATATGTCATGTGATATTAATGGACAAATTACGGTTCTTGAATCGGAAAAGGGGGGAAATCGGGAACAAATCTAGAAATTTTGTATTTGGTTTATTCTGTGTTGTGTGAAACAGTGTTCGTGAATTTTTGGATCCCATGGCCGTAACTCAAGAAAAGTTTATCGGACACGTAATCAAGATTCTGAAGAAGATTAGGTAAGTTAGTATTTTTAATTATTTGAGGATTATTATTTTTATGCATTGTTCTAAATGTAAGGTGGAAAGGAATTTTGTATTATTGGGAAAATTGTTATTAGCAATGATTTAGTTTAAAGTAATTAGGATTGTAAGGTAATTTTTATTCATTTAAGGTATGTGCTCATTTATATTTTAAGTAGTGTTTTTGAATTTAATTATATTTTAATGAAATGATAGTTATTTTGTGAATTTTATGTTTGTAGGAATTTGGTATACGTTTAAGTTGAAATAAACGTGCATGGAAATAATTTAAATATTTGATATTAAGTATTTGTAATGCTTGCGGTATGAATTCGTTGGTGACGTGTATAATGTAATAGATGATTTAGAGGTAAAAGTTTTTGGATATTTTATTTATTTTATATGTGGAAATGTTCATATTTGTAAAGGGTAAATACTTTTTTGTGATCAGGTAATTTCATATATGTTCTTTTTACCGGGTTTAAAGATTGAGAAAATTGTCATGCATTTTCGTAAAATTTTTCTAATTTATGAGAAAAAAGCAGTGTACATGGATATAGTGAAGAGTGTGCGCAATGCCATTTTTGTGCAATTCTGGGATTTTTTTTTTAAGTAAAAATAAGTCGCCGTGTACATGGTTTATGTGTATGTGTTATTTTGAAAAACGCGTAAGGAGTATGGTATTGTGCACTTTTTCCCAATTTTGCAGTGAATATTTGTCATGATTAAGCAGTTTTGTTTGATAAAATTTCTAGCATAAGTGTAATTCGGCTACTAGATTGTTGGAAGAAGTGTTCAGTAGATAAAAAGAAAAGAAACATGTCTTTACTTCGTGAAGACAAAATGGCGGCGGGGAAAAAAATAGAGGGTTGCTGTAGGAGAGTTGGTCGCCAAATTTTCGCCAAAAAAACGCCAAGTTACCATAATGTAAAGATTAACCATAATTTTATTAGCAATAAATATTTTTTGCTGCTTAAATAAACAGAAGATGTATATAACTTCCTCGTGTTAGTCTAAATCCGTATTTTTATCGTATTCTATAGAACGTTTCGCTGTTCCATCTGGGCCATCTGTGTTGATAATCTCTACTGATAAAACGTATTAAACTTTAAGAGCCCTTTTTGGTAATAGTTAAAATCTGAACTCTTTCAGATTATTATTATTATTTTTAGAATATATTCCAGAAAAATGGGTGAAGGTATTAATATATTTGGCAAGATGGAGAAAGGGAGTTTATAAGGGATTATGGTAACTTGGCGATTTTTTGGCGAAAATTTGGCGACCAACTCTGCTACAGCAACCCTCTATTTTTTTTTCGCCGCCATTTTGTCTCACGAAGTAAAGACATGTTTCGGTTGATCTTTACATTATGGTAACTTGGCGTTTTTTTGGCGAAAATTTGGCGACCAACTCTCCTACAGCAACCCTCTATTTTTTTTCCCCGCCGCCATTTTGTCTTCATGAAGTAAAGACATGTTTCTTTTCTTTTTATCTACTGAACACTTCTTCCAACAATCTAGTAGCCGAATTACACTTATGCTAGAAATTTTATCAAACAAAACTGCTTAATCATGACAAATATTCACTGCAAAATTGGGAAAAAGTGCACAATACCATACTCCTTACGCGTTTTTCAAAATAACACATACACATAAACCATGTACACGGCGACTTATTTTTACTTAAAAAAACATCCCAGAATTGCACAAAAATGGCATTGCGCACACTTTTCACTATATCCATGTACACTGCATTTTTCTCATGAATTAGAAAAATTTCACGAAAATGCATGAAAATTTTGTGAATCTTTAAATCCGGTAAAAAGAACATATATGAAATTACCTGATCGTGAAAAAGTATATACCCTTTCCAAAGATGAACATTTCCACGTATAAAATAAATAAAATATCCAAAAACTTTTACCTCTAAATTATCTATTATATTATAAACGTCACCAACGAATTCATACCTCAAACATTACAAATGGTTACAAATACTTAGTGTCAAATATAAATTATTTCCATGGACATTTACTTCCACTGAAACGTATACCAAATTCCTACAAACATATACAGTATAAAGTCGTTAATTCGGATACCCATAATCCGGAATGATCTATAATCCGGACCTCAAAGCTAAAAACTTTCTGCGCATGCGCCGCTTTGACACATGCGCATAGGCGTTTACGTGTGCGCGTAAGACCTTTTACCACTGCGC